CTGCCGCCGCCGTCGCCGCCACCACCGCCGCCCGGCGTTGCTGATCGATTTTCCGCGAACGAGCGGAGCGGAGCGGAGACCCGCCCCTGATTCTCGTCGCTCTCCTCCGACGAAGCGGTGGAGATCCGACAATTTTTTGCGCTCCGTCGCTGGACCCGCTCCCACGGCGCGCGCGGCCGACCCGGGACGAGCCGAGAAGGACCGAGAGGGACCAGAAACTAAAAGCGGCTTTTCCCATTGTGCGCGCGTATCCGCGACACAACGATCAATGCTCTTTCCGCACCTGCTCGCCGCCCCTCGTACGCTTTCGCTCTTGCACCGCATCTTGAATCGGGTTCTTTATCTCGCTTCCACCGGACTCTTCGCAATTCTTTTAGAGTCTTGCCCGAATCTCCAGCATCTTTTGTAGACGTGGCCCTTACGTGGTCATTGATCAACCCAAAGAGTACTACGAAGTATTGTAAAAGATACGACTATTGTATGCACAGAATAGATTTCAGAGACCGAACGATGAGGGGACGGAACGTAATAGAAAAATCGATAAGATTTTGAGTCCGCGCCGAGGCGTCGAAGGGGGCGATAACGAGGACTGTCGCGCTGATATCGGCGACGCGATCGACGCTCGATCTTAGACCCGAGGACTCCGTCGTTTGCTACTTTTCTATTCTCTTCGGCGTAGGCAGAAAGACTCGCGCGCCTATCGGGGACGGGACGGCGGACTCGCGGCGAATTTCGTTCTCGTTCGCCTCTCCCGCGGCCGCGTGGGGTCTGTAAAGCGACGCGGGATTTTTTAGGGTTGCTGTAAACACGCCGCGACAACCTTTTAACCCTTCGTTTTCGAGCTATTTATAAGTTGCGTCGCGCGGGCGCAATGGCAAGCGGGCGCACCGAGGCCAAGAGAGCTTGTTTCTAGGCGACGCGACGTCTAGTTTCTTGCTTTCTAGGATCTCGTAGCCGCTCTGCACGCCTCTCCCGTGCACTGGACTAAATCGACTCCGCGTCCCACTTACCGCGTGTACACATGGAAGGTAAATGAAAAAGGCCGGTTCGAGTTCTGCGGACGGACGGACGGACGGACGGACGAGGAGGCGGCGACGTGGCCCCGGTAAAATACACGGTGAATTATCTCCGTGCGCGCTTTTCGACCGGCCTGCGGAGCCGCAGGAGAGGGCGAAAGAAAGGTCGAAGGGCGAGCTATTTGTGTGCGACTCGCATAAATAATTTTCATCCCGCTGCCCCCCCCCTATGTTGATTGGGAAATCAACGATCAAAGGACGATAAATTGGCGCGCATATAGGGGCACGGGCAGGGCGCGCGGCGCAACGGGACGTGTATAAAAGTCCGTGAAATCGGAGTTGGGAAACTCCTCTTCCACTCTCCCGCCTGCATGAGTTCGAAAACAATCCAAGTTCCAGGGTACTAAAAGTTTAGAAACTTGCCGAAGGGAGGAGGTGGCCCGAGGAGCGGTGGTCACAGCAGAGTCTTTCGAAATCCCGTGGAACGTACGTCCCGAGAAATAAAAGTTGTCGCGCCAACAGAATTTCGAATTGGCGTGGAATCCGTTTGCGGCACGAAAATTCAATTGTTGCCTCCGTGACACGAAAGAGAGAGAGAGAGAGAGTGAGATAGAGGGGAAGAGAAAGAGATATAAAGACGCTTTGTGCGCACTTTGGCATAACTGACTTGAGTGACGGCGACATGGATCGCACGAGCGTCCGTTTCGCTTATAATTCGAACCGTCGATCTCCCCTTATCTTTTATATCGCGCGCATAACAACGTCCCGTGCCTTATCTGCGCGCGCTCCATACTGTTCCTTTCTTTATTGATAAATTTTCGTCGATAAACCGGACGCCCGTTGTTACCGTTCTCCGAATGCGGTCTCGTATTTTTAAACGCGAGACTCGCTGATACTCTATCAGCTCTACGTGACTCTCCCCGTCCTGGCGACTTTCTTCTCTTTTTCTCGACGATAGCGCACGGTCGGCTAACACCTGTTTACCCCCGGTACATATGGTCGAGCGAAATAAAAGCACGGTCGGGCTTTTTAACTTTTATCGAGCGTCCGCGCGACGCCACCCGGTTGACCCGTCGAAAATAAACGCCTTGCTCTTTTTTTATAGGGATGACCAGAGACACCCACGCGCGCGCGGAAAGGAGAGACGGGAGCTCGTGTTGCTCGTGCTCGCGAGTTGGACACGCGGAGAGAGCGTATATCTGGACATCGGGCAACGTCCCCTCGCTCTCGGACATGTTGACCGCGTCGGTCTATATTCGACCGCACATTATCTGCTCGCCGATATCTCTCTTTCTCTCTCGTTCCGCATCTCTTTTTTCACTATCTCTCTCTCTCTCTCTCTCTCTTTCTCTCTCGTCCTCTGCCCTTTCTCGCCCGCCCGTATCGCGACGCTGGCGGACCGACAATAGGTTCGACGACGAACTTGAACAAGGCGACTTCCGCCCGCCGTCTCACTCGCGTCCGGCCGTTTCTGACGCGACGATAATTTTGTCAATTCCGTCAATCCGAGCGCGCCGCCGCGGGCGATTTTCCCTACGGATCGCTTGAATATAAGCGGAGATTCGCGAGGGGAGGAGAGCCACAGCCGGCCGGCCGACCGGTGGTCCAGCAAGATTGCTGACGAGTGCTGCTGATTGTCTCAATGTCGGCTAATGGCGTGAATGACTGTAAGGATGCGTGCAGCGAAACGCGTCGTGTCGCAACTTCTGTCGACTCTCGCACATCCGTTCTTTTAATAGATTACGCACGTTTCTTTGATTTCTTCTCAATTCTCCTCCTCCTCCTACGTTCTATTCTCGGACTTGCATTTTATTCCATCTGTATATCCCGGGGCCTTTGAACCGACACGTTATTTGACGCGCGACGGCGTTTTGGCTGGCTCTCTCTCTCTCTCTCTCTCTCCTCCTTTTCTCCCCGAACTTGGAATCCTGGGCTCGAGCTCTGGGATCTCGGTGAGCTTTTGAAGTCTACGGTCTCCGCGGCCTCACGGGAGAGGCTGCGTCTTTGAATCTTGAATACGCGCCTCAGATTTAGAGCGGTTGAGATTATGCCGCTGCTTATTCATGAACCCCGACGTTACACAGGGAATAATCCATCATCGTCCGTCGATGCGGAGATGGTTACGCCGGTCGTCGAATCCTCGTCCAGCTGTCGCCGGGTGATTAATTAGCCCCGCGGCCTTGGCGATCGCCCCGATTCGCCATCGTCGGAGGCGCGCATCGCGCGTCCGATCGCGCGCGAAACGATGCCATCGATCTAAGGAGAGACCTTGAGCCAATCGTTTATGCGTTCGTATCGCCGCGCACCCTCCAATAAATCAATCTTCGGCTTCCGCACGCTGGACTGGACAGGGCCTAGCGTGCGGACAGCCGCGTTTCGCCGGATTTGCATGGACGTCCGAGTGGACCTCGAGCGCCCTGGATTCGTTGACGTCGCGGCGACATGAGAGTCGCGATCGTTGCAATTGATTTGCGCGATCGGAGGCTGCGACAACGAGACGTCCGTAGCTGAATTCTGTATACTCGTCATGCAGCATCGTTACCGTTATATTGACGTTGCGCAGGTTCTTTTGACCATCACGAGACACGGCAGTGTCTCGCGCCAAGTATAAGCGTAGACCGACCGTGTAGTTTACGCGAGTACGCGAGCTGACAGGCCCTCAGATTTTCGGATCTCAGCCACGGCTGATCCGATCAACTTCTAAGGACTCAATCGATAGCTTGGATTCGATTTGCATGATAAGAGTGTTTGTATTTTTCTCCTACGTGCCCCATGAGTGGAGATATTGCAATGCAAAATCCAAATTTGCCAAATTCTCGATTAAGAAACGTCTTTGTGTGTGTGTGTGTCATCTAAAAAAATATTACTTTACTCAAGAAATTTTATTTTATCACAACTAAATATCAGCTGTCCATATTTTGCAGCTGAAATTTAGTTGCCACGTGAAGTTTTTAGCTACGGCAGCTACACTTTTCTTTCCGTGCAGATACAGCCGTAGACAAGATTATTAGGCACGCGTCTAATCAGTACAAATTAACAGTGCAAATTAACGAATCCGATTGCTCGCCCTGGTGCGCGCTGACAATAGGTTTGCTTTCGGTTCCTGCACTGGTGAACTAGTGCAGTAAGCTAGAATGAGAAAAAATATGCTTGTCTTACTCTAATTTACTAATGCACTAGTTCACCAGTGTAGGAACAGAAAACAAGCCTAATGAGTGCACACTAAAGCCCGTATCGGACTACGGATTAAGATTGAGATTAGATTGAAATTTGATTAATTAGAGTAAAAGTTTAAAATAATTTTTTTAAGTGGCAAGAGACGCGTAAACGTATCCCACGTCACAGCTGATTTTAAAGGAAAAGAGAAGTTTATAAAAAGTGCTTCATCAAATTGCATATGTGCATAAAAGTAACACTTAGATTTCCAGTGTATGCTGTACTGAATTTAATACTGGAAAGATTTTGAGCCTTTAAAAGCTGTTCACTGTACAGAAGAGCAACGAACGCTCCAGTAAACAATTTTTCGAAAGCGGAGGTTTTCCAGATTAGATTCGGTACAGTACAACGATTAGGAGGGTGTCTAACAATTTGTCAAAGGCTGTAGACTACGATACGCTGCTTCACTCGAGAATTGTCGTTATCGAAATCGACGGGGAGCTTCCGGGGCTATCGCGGAAGCGCGGACGAGATTGTCAAAACGAGGACGTGGCCGGGCGGGCACAAAGTGTCGAGCGCCAAGGATTAAAGTGCGAGTTACTCGCAGTGGCGTAAGATTTTATTTTTAGCGCTCCCTCGCAACGATGCTACGGCCGCGGGGTTAATTATCCTTTGCCGTTCTCGTTGAGGGCCACTTGTCGCCGGAGATCGAGATAACCGCGAATCGTAACGGAGCGCAGCAGCACCCGCGAGTTTAACAGCCGCGTCGAGCGCGGATTCCGCGAAATTCGACGCCGACGTCGCGGCGCTTCTTCCTTTGTGCCGGCCTGTCGGGTGCCTCGTGACGTGGATCACGAGTTATCGGCGATGACGGGCTTTAATAGAGATTGACGGACTGGCTTTAATTAACGTCAGCGTGAAATCCAGCATAAAGAAGTCTTCGCTTCGCCGACTGCCTCGCGAGAACGAAGCCCGAATGCGTATATATAAAAAAAAAATATATATATATATATCAAAGCGCGAGAAGCTTATTCGTTTCTCGCTTCGGTAATTTATCGCCGTTGATTTGCCGCGATAATCTATCTATTGAGTCAACTCGAAGGGAGCGGCCGTCTCTCTATCGCAAAATTCTCAGAGATCCACAATCTGGGTCCGATTGAACAAATATTTGCCGATCTGAGAATAAGCAGTGTCGCGGATCTGCTTTTTTACGTATAGTTAGATAAGGTTGCTAATTAAGAGTGTCTGACGGGGCGTTTTTTTTTCTTGTTTCCCTTTTAGGATGAAGCTGTGCTGGAGTTTGGCTCTCGTGGCCGTCGCCCTGTTGATGATTCTTACGTCCACGCGAGCGGAAGCTGATCTGTGGGAGGAGGATGATAAGGAGGTGCTTGTGCGGACAGTGCGCGGTACTAAGGAGCGAAGTGAGTGTTCTTCTTTCTGTTAATTAACCCGTTACCTCCTTCCACGATCGCGACGTTATTTTATCGAGCGGCTGCGAATATAGACCGTCTATATATATATAACACGCGTATATAAACGTCGTAATTAGAAGTCGTTCCGTAGCGACCTTAAAAGTCCCTCCCTGCCTTCCTCCTTTTCTCTCTTTCTCCTTCTCTATTCGCTTGATCGACGTTACGTCCAATTGTTTCTATTGACGTTTCGCGTCTGCTGATGCAGCATCCGGCAGCTCCTCGTCGTGCAGATACGTAAAGGGTCAATGGTCGGAATGCGACTCGAATACCAACACGCGGTCACGCACTCTGAATCTCAAGAAGGGCGACAAATCCTGCGAGCAGACCAAGACCATACAGAAGAAGTGTAAGAAAGGTGAGCCCGTGATTGATAGCCCGTGGCGTCGCAAGAAATAAATTCGGGGACGTAATGCGTTTTCTTTTTGTTTCTCTTAATTCGACCGTAGCATGTCGATACGAGAAGGGCACGTGGAGCGGATGCGCGAATCAGGTAATGACGAGAATTGATAATCTGAAAGCGAACAGCGATACATCCTGCGACAAGACGCGACGGCTCACCAAGAGGTGTAAACTGGAGGCCAACACCAAGAAGTCTGCCAAAGGTAATTCCTCCCGTTTGCTCGATTTCGATTATCCGGGCTGCGGCAGCCCGCGCGACATGAGGGACATTTAAGCAGCAAGCGCGAGCCGTTGTCTGTTTTTCTGTTTTCAGGTGAACGATCGAACAAGAAATCGGGCAAGCAGTAATTATTCGCCGATCTCCAATCATTTCTTCTAATCGGGCAACGAAAGCGCACTCTCATCTCTACGACCCCCTATCTTCTCTCCATCCCCTTCCCCGTCGCCAATTAAGTGCGAGGCAGAGCACAAATTTGGATCGATCGTCTCGCGATCGAAACATTTATCACGTATACTGCCTAGGAGTCATTTGCATTTTGGACGCAGACGCGCGCTGCGCGTAACTGCAGACAGTTTTCAAGGTGCGCTGCCGTCGATTAATTGCTGTTGATAATTGTGGGATGGTGCTTGCGTTTCGGTGTCATCACGTCTGTTCTCGGCAGCAACTCGGTTATTAACCCTTCTAGGATTTCGTTGTGCGAGGTAGTTTACATATCGGACGTACGTCGCGCGTTGAATCTTGGCTTAAATGTTTCGGCAATGTCGATTTCTGAGTAGACTCGGTAGATTGGTTACACCTAATAATAGACCCAAGTTTGTGTGGAAAATATCGTGTTCGTAAACATACGCCTGTCGAAGAGAGACTCTTCTATCTAACCCATTGACATAATTTGCAACGAGTTCCCCTATTAGAGGAGCTATTGATCGCATAAAGGTATTCTAAAAATGGACGTTGGCGAGATCTTGGAGGGTTAAGCCGCGCAATCAACCGGGGAATCGATTGGGAGAACCGATACGTAACATGTTCGAGATGACGAAAGCTAAACACGACCGATCGTCCAGACACGTAGTGATGCAGTTTGTGCATTGAATTTTCGTGAATCCGCAACACCCTCGAACACGCGAAACTTTTCCACTTGACCTTCGAAATCAGATGTCTAAAAATCTGCAAAGATCGACAAGTCAGCCTTCTCGGCGTGTTCTTGCAAAATCTGCACCACTAGTTGTTCGATTAACGAGCGTAGCACACATGATAAAAAGTCCCCCTGACTAGAAAGCAGCCGCCACTTCGGAGGTTCGCAGAGGATAAGATCATCCGCCAAAGTTGTTCTCTCGTCTTCCCGCAGCGATATTATATTATTATTAATATTATTGTTTAACACAAGAAGCAGCAGCGACCCCCATTTGGCTTAGCTGCTGATCCACTTAAAAATCATGTACAATATTTGTCATACTAAACAGCTTTCATTCGATTGTCACATAAATATACAATGTTCGGTGTTCAAAGTAACTGTGTCCTGTATCATGTAACACGCGCGAGATATTCCGACAATTATTACGCCGTCGCGAAGGTTCGTTAGTTTAAACAAGGATGCTGCGCGCAACAAGCTAATGGCATCCGCCCCGTGTGGCATCTTCAAAATGGTCAAAAATCAAAAATTACGCAATCAAAATGAACGATCAAAAGAAGACGCATCGAATGTTTGTCGAGAGAATTAAAGTGAAATACGGAAATACACTATATACTTGTATATTATATATATGTATACACACATATATATATATATATATTTAGCACACGCAGAATGTTCGCGCGAGCCTAATGAATTTTCCCGGAATCCTCCGCGCCCCTCTCGGCAGGACGTTGTCACTTCCGATGTTAATATTCGCAGTTAACGTTAATAATAATAATGTATCAAGTGATAACTGGCAAATATGGAAACTCGCCAATGAGCATGAAAATCAAACTGAAATAACTCGTCGTCTCATCAAACATGCACGCTCGCGCGTGCGAGAAAGAGAGAGGAAAAAAGAGATTAGATCACTGGATATCTTTTCGACGCCACAAAAATCAAATCCCCTTCTCCCCTCCCCCTGCATTGTAATTCGTTTCTAAGTCTAGATGTATAACCGGAGGGCTCGTCGGTGAGAGGAAGTTAAGCTGTTTGCGCGTTTGATATTGCACGCAGGTGCGACCCGCGCGAACGCGTCTCACAGGAGTGCACAGGTGAGACGCGGGAAGAGGGTATTTTTCACATACAATATTTTGAAGGTGTCTCTTCCTCGTCTCCGTTTAAATCTCCGATACGCGACGGTGGCTCGGTTCTTCAGCTCCGAAAGGTCGCGGGTCGTCACGGAGGGGACGTCGCGATTGTCGGCGAGTTGTTCCACGCGTCGGATTCTGAGGACCTCCGCAAGTTCATCATCCAAGACCCTGTTGGACGCCGTACGCGCGGAATCGCGCGTGCGTCATCGTCAAGCGCCTAGTTCTAGCTCCCTATTACAGCATATCATCATTACGCGTGAAGCGAACCTTATCGATAAACTAGGATAGCGTTATCTCCGTTTTATGGGCTCTTCGCTAATTATTGTCTCCATTGATCCTCCAACTGGTGAACCCAGCTCCACCGGACACTCGTCGTTCCCTTCCCCTCGAATTGCCAAGGTCGAAGCTATGTTCCGCACCGAGACCAGTTCGTACCAGGTGGGACACGCCACGGAAGTGGGACTCGTTACGTGCCGGTTGAAAGCATTAAATGTGTCTCCTGCGTTACAACTGTTTTACAATGTGCGCGCTAATTACGTGCGCTCGTGCAATTCCTCTCTCGCAGGGGATTCCGAGACCATTCCAGAAACGCTAAACGAAATGCGCGAGCTTGCACGCCTCGTAGTTTTCGTAGGAATCCTGCGCTAGCTCTTAACAACCGTGCAGGATTGCGCAATTCGGATGCGTCATCTCGGCATGCAATTACCTCGGCAATGCAGAACAGCTGTAACGAGTCTCGTGCTTGACTTCTCTGTGTGGAGCTACGCAGGAAGCTCTTCATGTTTTAATCGCATTGTAACATAGCATGATAGGAAGATACATCAGTAAACCTAGAGACTAATTTTTCAGATCCTTCGATAAAAAGCTACACAGAACGTTCCGGGGAGAAATGCGCGCGTCGATAGCAAATGCCTCGTGTTCCCTTGGAGAAATTTCGAAGCGGACGTCTCTCCCTGACTCCCCGATCCAAGTTTTTAACGAGTCGCGAATTAAATCCTGCGCACCGCAGGCTCCGAATCCCGGGACCGGTCGGGAAAGGTCGCAGTATACAATTTTAATTTCCGCCTTCAATTAGCTCTGCTCTGAAAAATCCCTCTCGATATGTCTCTTCCAGGACAGCCGTTTGCTATCTGCGCGTGCACCGCGTCCTTCGGAACAAATCATAGATATTCTAGATATTACAATAAGAGAATCGTTCAAAACTTTATTCGTTAGAATTAAAATAATTAGAGGCATACGAATCGCCGTTCGTATTACGGATCGTTGAGTTTCACAATCGTCGATCTTGTTGATGGTTTAATCTCGTTAGCGCAACCATAGTATAACTAGTAGGTCCACTCGCGTCATTCGTCTCATTTTGCGTTAATCCCTTCTGCGCGTCCGACATTGTTCTGGGTAGAGCAATGAGAGAAAAGTTGTATGTGTGGTAATGTAGTTTCGATACACTATCGCACATACAACTGCAGTACGTACACACACATACGCCGCTGGATTGCTGCCCAGAATAATGACGGAATACCACGTGATCGGGACCGCAAAGGGGCCGACAGAGAGTGGACCCACTAGTTGTACTATGGTGCAACTACAGAAATTGCAATAGGCCGCTTTGACCGTTTTTGATTGGTGTAACAGGTCGCTGAAAATTTTCTACGCATTTCGTTAAGGTTAAACAAATTCGATTGTACATTTTTCAAAGACCGTCAATTTGTTATACGGATCGATTAACTGCTTCGCAACGATTTAGATCCTAAATGATTGTTAAAAGTATTTGTATAAATCGCTAATCGCGCAGTTGCTGGGACATTACGCACAGTTTCGTCGTTCAGACCGTATAGCTTAGGGTAGCTCTTGAATTTTGGATGTATCGTAGCACGATGAAATCGATCATTTTCTTTACGAACTACTATAAAAATTGTATAATGCATCTACTTACTTATTGAAGTAATTGTGTAACCAATACACACATGTAACAAAAATCCAATGTTGTCAATAAAAGTAAAATATTATATATACAAGAGCGCTGTGATCAATTCGAGTTGCGTCGACCGGGATGCTCGCACAACTGATCTCGTGAAATGACTGGAGACAGAGATTTTTATGATATGTGTTTTTATTCGCAAAATTTATCGATACAAAAATTACAAAAGTGCTCGATTATATCGATGTCATATTAGAAAATTATTTCCAATAAAAAGTATATTTGATAATATCAAAAATGGACGGACGTAAAATTTATCATTCTTTTTCAGCGCCTCGCTGTAAAGTAATTTTCCATTATAAATTCCATGTATAAAAGTTTCTTAATTGCATTAATTTTTAAAAAGGGGGGAATACGCACGCGTGTGCCCGTTAATAACAAATATATTAGTACGAATATTATACTATAATAAATGGACGGAATGTCATTTCAGATCATCAAGAGATTTAACTTACATGACCAATACTGTCTATGCAATATTGTGTCAATATTGCCAATACGTGAGAGGTGTCCCAGAAAAAGCAGTTATAAATATTTCGAAAGTTATTTACGTTCGACTTACGTCGCCAAAAATACTAGTCGGCAGTTTTAATCGTACATTTTTCTTTTATGAAAAAAAAAATGCACGATCCGGATACATTTTCGGGACAGTGCTATCTGTTCTCACGCCACGGAGACGGACAGTTTCCTGGAGTACGCCTTGCCCTCCCATTCTTCGTCGGACGGCAACGCCTCGTGTCGCAAATTGCAGATACGTGCGCCGTACTTGAGCAGCAAGATTATAATGCAAACTACGAAGAGAGTCAGGCAGGCCGTGGCAGGCCAGAAAACGTGTAAGCCCATAATGAGAAAGTGTTTTGTGCTGCTCGAGATTGTCGCCTATTCGCAACTAGTGTCGCGTGCAATTATCGAAACGACTCGCGAAACAAGTCGCTACAGTGTCTAAATCACCGTTTTCGATTATATAAGTTATTTTGTAAGAGAACAAAATAAAAATTATTCTCGATATACGTAAGAGCAGGACGACGTGCCTACGAAGACAATGCTGGTGGTAAGAGATTCACGGTACCCAAGTTAGAAGCTGTACAATGCAATCAGCCGAGTGCAAAGGGCTAATTGGACTCTATTGGGCTCAATTAAAGTTCTTGACTTTGAACGTATCCTTAAGCGTGGGTGTTACTACTGCCGTTGTTCAACACTGCTCGCTAGTTGGTGCTGCCGGCGCCACTTTAGATCTCGCTCTCGCGTTTTTGCATCTCCATGTACTCCTGCGGTTGCGGCGTCGTGCGCTGAGACTCCGGATCGTGATACTGAACAATCTCGTGCCTCACTTGGGGATGCTTGATGAGACCGGGCTCTAGCTCGCTGAGGTCAAGCGGCGGCGTTTTGTGTGGTAATACAGTCCACATGGGCTGGATCCACCTATTGCCTAAATTCCAATAGGACAATACGCTATTAAAAAAATAAGAGAAACTGTATCAGTGGCGCGCGGCCGCAGGAAGAAGCTACGAGTCTAGAATTAATACGTATCTCCCGTGCTGACGGGGGGGGGGGGGTGGTGGGCTGTTGGACTCACCAGTGTGGCGATTCTGCCAATAATCACGATGCCGCGAGCACCAGCAGAACACGATGTTCAGGATAAACAGACATCCGCCCAGGACGGTGCAGAAGGCGATTGTGACATAGAATGCGGTGAAGTCGCCGTATTCGTGCCCCTTAAAATACGGATTCTTCAGATACTCCTCGCGGTCGTCTAGAATGGACATGTCACAACGTTAGCGGTCTCGTTACTCGCTTGCCTTCTGAAAGAAAAAAGAGAAACGGGGAGGGTCCTGTTAGCGCGGTAAGAGTGTCCCCAAGGCTAGTCAGGCGTGGCTTGGCTTGGCTTGGCTTGGCTTGGTGTGGCGTGGCGCGGCGTGGCGTGGCGCGGCGCGCCTTGCCGTGCCGCACATGATGTATACACAACTTTGTGTACCGATTGGTGAATCGCGGTTATCGCTATCTTCACTACGGCGCGTACAAAATACGCGCGGGCAGACGAAAATAGACACCGATATAGGTCACGAAAGGCATGTGCACGTACGTACGCACGTACTCGCGAATGATAATTGCGCGCATCCTGTATGGCTCGTACGTACCTCAATGACGCTTCCTTTTTTTTCCTCTCCTTTCTTCGCGCCGTCGACGTCAGTTTCCCTCGGCGAGGTAGCGGTACCGCAGAAGCTGGGGCGACAAGGAAAGGAGCAAGTTGTCGGACCACGTCCGCATCGAACGTACTCTGGAATGTTTGAACGGCGTTAGATCACTCGTATTGGGCGGGGCATTCCATTGAGTGGGGAGGAATTATTCCTGACTTGCGTACTACGTCGTCCCGAAACGGGTAAGGTTGATAAGTTGAAAGTTGACTGTACTGATCATGGACGTAGGAAATATCTGGACGGAGCGTAAGGTACCCTCATGGACGCGGAAAGTTGGCTCCGAAGGGTGAGGGGACCTATCGTTGCGACCATCTTGGTGCAGGATATTTGGTGTCTATTGTCACATCGTGAGGCATTACACGGCGTGAACTAAGGAGTCATTTCTATTTTCCGATTCCAGGTATTAGTCGATCAATATTAAAGTTATGATGATTTGATATGTATATTAAAATGTTTATTCGATATGTATTTACAAATATTTATGCTAATCTATACAGCAAATTTGGTAATTCTAAACATTCTTGGAATTTTAAGTAGTGCCACCTCTTTGCTGATCATGTTCTCCTGATACTTTGTAAGTTTTCGAGATTCTCGATTTTAGCGATTTGAAATTCTCGAAATGCC